TTGAAATTTATACTCACGCCCTGTAATTTATGTAATCGATTGGAGTATTGATTAATTCATTATAAAATTATAACTTAATAAATAAATATTGAAATTTATACTCACTTCCTGTAATTTATATAATCGATTGGGGTATTGATTAATTCATCATAAAATTATAACTTAATAAATAAATATCATTGAAACTCATAATCACCAGCTATAACAGATCAAAAGTATTAATTATAATTTATTAAAAAATTTTGATCTCAGTAATGTTGAAATTATACTCACATCCTGTAATTTAATTAGGAACGTTAATTTAATAAATATTTGTTAAATAAATATTTGAAATTTATGCTCACGACCTAATAGTTATATAATTGAATATTTATTAATTATAAAGAATCCTTAGGTTTAATAAGCTGAAAATTTATGCTCACTCTCTAACGATTATGAACGTAGTTGATTAGTGTGTTGTTTCATTTATTATGAAATATAAAATTTATTGGAACTTATACCCACTTCCTAAATTTATTAATAAAAGGAATGCTACGTAATTAAGAAAAATGGAACGAAGTTTTTTGACATTTGAATACAGATACATACTAATGATAAAAATGCTTTTATTCCGTAACGCAATATCTCTTCTATTTGTTGTCGCCCATCGATAACTTTCTTTGGGACCTTATATAAATATAATTGTGTTGCATGTTTCATAATGGACTCAAATTGGCTATTTGGAGAAGTTAATTTTTTCAAATCGTTGGTTCCTAAATTACGAAAACAATGTGTATATGCCGCATCACATATATATATGGTGATAATTCTAATACTCAAAGAATAAGAAATCACATTATTTTTCAAAATTTACCTTTAAAATCCAAAAATCTAGATATGCATTCTAAATATATATATTAATTAATAAATAATAAAATTACTACAGTATTATCGAATCAATTAATCTAAAATACCTTTTAGGATTTTATTGAGGCTAGTACTAGTCTTCTGCTTTTCTGAGGTTTTATCAAATAAAAACTCCTCTCCTAAAATATTTAATTCCTCTCCTAAAATATGTGGAAGTATTAATTAATCATGACAATTCTAAATCGATATAAAGCTATTTACGTTGCATTACCAAAATAATTTTTAACTTCTTTAAGAAGATCGTCTCTATTTCTATGTTCATTTTTGTCACATTTATTAGCAATAATCATAATAGGAATTTCATTGCTATTATATTCACGCGATAGTTCTTTTATTTCCTTTAATCCGTCAGATTGAGAACTATCATAAACAAGTATAGCACCATCAATATAACTATAATAACTATAATATTTATATGATAAATAAAATTTCCTCTATATAAAAAAAAGAATAAATTACAATCAGGGTTTAGTAACTCAGTAACTCACTTTTCATTTGGTCTGAGATTCCATCCTACAAAATGACAGAAAAAAGATTAATATCATAAATAGAATATAGTTGTGCTCAGCTTACTATTAATTGGATCTTATCATTTACATATACTATTTTATATCCAGATTAAACTAATAATTCATTTTCCATAAAATTGCAAATGTCGAACTTTGAATAACGATTAGTAACCGTAAAATTCAATTAATAGTAAATACTAATGATAAGGATAATTTTTAATACCGGTTTCCAAAAATTCTACTTTAATATCGTAATCATCTAACCGAATGTGTGTGGTTGTGACATACGCATGAAAGGTATTTTTATATACTCCATTCTCAAAATCACCATATGCAAATTTCTTGATAAAACAAGATTTGCCAACATAATATTCACCGTCCACACCAACTGAAAATAAAAATATGTTAATACAGTTCCTTTAAATTTCAACACAAACAAATACCAATGTATCATACTTCTTAAAAAAAAAATCA